AATATAATTTCTTTTACTATTTCTACTATTTTACTAAAGTATAGCAGAAAATACCCTTATAAGACCCTAGATATTACGGTATTCCTATAGAATAATAATCTATATAAGAACTCTCATTAAGTTAAAGTTACTAGCTTTCTAGAAAAAAACATATTTAAGATTACTTCTAGATCTCAGATACTAAAAGAGATACGTATCTTTAATTCCCGGTTTATTAATAAGATTAAGAATAAGAATATAGAGAGAGAGTTTAAGAAATCGAGACTAGTTATTTAAGCTTATAATAATAGTAAGAAATATATAATATTAATATAATTACTTATTATTTAATATATTAGCTAGAGAATTATTCTTAGTATTATTATTATAATAATAGATACTATAAAGTTATATTTATATAATATCTCGCAAGCTTATATATAATTAATAATCTTGCTTAATTATAATTTTTATATTAACCTATCTTATAAACTTATTAGAGAGCTAAATCTAAAGAATAATTCTATTCTAAAGGTTATAAAACTACTATATAATATACCGGAAGCTAGGAATTACTAGTTTAAGACTTATTATTTCTATTATACTAATGAGCTTTCTATAGAATAGTTAACTTATAATTCTTGCCTTTTTTATAATAAGTAATTCTTTGAAATTATTAGCCTTTAAACTAATAATATTCTATTTATTAGAACTAATAATTTTATAAAAATAAAGTAACTAAAGCTCTAAGAGACTAAGTTCTTGGCTAAGAAATATAAATACCTTACTATTAATTATAATCTCAAATTTAATAGAGATATTATTTATATGAATATTACTAGAATTATTCTTATATAAAAATACTAGTATAAAAACTTCCGAATTATTTCTATAAAGAATATTACTATTATAAGTAATAAGGATACTATTTATTAAAATCTTTCTATTAAAAACTAATATATTACCTAATATACTAGAGAAGTATATATTATATTAGTCTATTAACTAGAAGCTTTATATAATCTATTAATTATTACTTAAGCTATTAAACTCTCGGAAACTAATATAAAGGCACTTAATAAATATATTTAATAGTAAATTGAGAATATTATTAGAGAACTGAAATTTATAAAGCTAGTAAAGAAGTTCTTATATTTAATTATTTTTACGAATGCTTTATTTATAAATAATAAAGATCTCTTTCCCTAAATCGGATATATTCTAGTTCTAGTAAATAGAACTAGATATACTAATATTATTTACTAGTTCTTTACTAAATACAAGAGAGTTATTAGAAGTATTCTAGCTTTAGAACTTTATAATATAGCTTATGGCTTTAATATAGGCGCTTTAGTCAAATTTATAATTAATAAAATACTAGAAATAGAACTATTACTAGTAATCTATATAGACTCAAAGCCGTTATATAAATGCCTTATTAAATTAGGAACTACTTGAGAAAAGCATCTAATAATTAATATAATATATCTTTACTAGATATATAAATAACGAGAGATTACAGAAGTTAAATAAATTAAGAGAGAATTAAATCCTGCTAATTTTATAACGAAATTAAAGCTAATAAATACTCTTAATTACCTAATTAATACAAATACTATATAATTAGATATAAAGAAATAAGTTAAGTACAAATAGAGCAGAAAATAGATATATAGAATAGGAGAATATTATAGAAGGAAAAGTTATATATAAAAGGCTATAGCCTTTAGTATATAACTAAAACCTTAGAAATAATATAAATATATAAAGTATTTGGGAAATCTAGTACTAGGCCAGATTAGGTAATTTGTATATAATTAGAGAAAGGTATTATTTTTCGCGTTTTTAGAGAGTTTCTAGTATTAGTATAGCTATTTCTTTAGGAGTCACGTGCGTAGTCACGGGATACGGGATATAGTTATATAACCTCATATTTTATAAATAACTCGATAAATAAACTAGATCTCTTTAGGCTTAGTAGATTTAGGGATTATATATTAATACTATAATATTATAATTCCTATATCTAAATAATAATAACTTTACTAACTAATATAATTAGTATTTTCACGCCTATATAATAGTACTATATATTACTAGTAAACTAATAATAATAAACTTAATTAGACCGACTTTTATTTTATTATATTTCTTAATCTTTTTATATATAGCTTTAATTTATTAATTATTAATAATATAATCTTAAATAAAGCAAATAATATTAATAAAAAAGTTATTATAATATATATAAATTAATTTCTAAAGTTTTAATAAAAGCTTCTTATTTAATTTATATTTAATATCTTAAAAATTAATATTGCCTTATATAAATAATTATAAAAGAAAATATAAAACTTTTAAAATATTTAACTAAAATATATTTAAAGTTTATAATAGCAGGAATAAAGTAATAGAACGAGGCTTAAAGATTAATAATTTCCTATATCTTGAGAATTTAAAGCTAAAGAGAAAGAAGTGAGGTATAGTAGTAGATAAGTAGGTATAGCTAAGACTACTAAAACGCCGAGCTTTGGAAGCGAGCTTGGTTTGAACTATAGCTTGGAACCTTAGCTAAAACTAATTCCTTTAGCTAAAACCAATTATATAATACCAGCCGTTATAAAGTTTATTAAAATTAAAATAAGTATTTTATATTTTATTAGAATTAAAGTATAATTCCTTTAAATAAGAATCTAACTTTAAAAGCTAATAATATTAATTTAAATTATTCTTATTTATATAAGAACTAATTAGAGCAAAAATATTATATATAAGTTTATTAAAAATATAAATTAATATTACTTTATAGCTTATTCTTAATCTGAATTAGCTAATTATTAAAAATAATATAATTTCTAATAAAGAGAATTGACTTTAAAAACTTAGTAACCTTAATATTTCTAAAGAAAATATAAGATATAAAAGATTTTAAATAGAAATAAAAATAAAATAATTCGGGAAATTTTGAAGAAAGTTTTAAAAGAATAAAAATAACGGGAATAGTAGAAATAAATAAAGTAAAAGTAGCTAGAATTATTATAAACTAATTTGCTATAATTAAATAGTACTTAATATTTTCTTTGAATTTAATATTATAAAGCTTAATATTATTAAAAAGGCTTTTAATATTTTTATAAGAATTCTTATATATAATAGTCTTTTAAATATTCTTTTAATAATTAATTATAATTATATTAATGTTTTTAAATAAAAGATTAGGCTTCTTAGCCTATTTATATAAGTCTTTAATAATAATAAGTTATTAAATATATAAAAGCCTTATAATAAAAATAAAAAGCTTTATTTTTATAAATTTATTTATAAATTCTTTAGAAATATTAATAAGGCATTTAGTTCTAAAAGAGCTATTAATAAAATACTTGAACTAATAAAAGCTTTAAAAGTATTTAAAAGCCTTAATAAAAATTAATTTATTATATTTTTTTCTTTATTATATTCTTTTTAGTAATTTCTTTACTAGTATATATATAAAGCCTATAAGATTATAAAATAAAACTTAAGAATAATAATTAGATTATTGGCTTATAAGTACTTATTATTCTAGAACTTAATTAAAAAATAGCTTTTATATAAGGTTTTTTGATTTTTGGGTTTTTAAAAAGAATTTCTAATATATTTATAAAAATCTAAATACTTAATTATTTTAAAAGTTCTAAAGCTTTTCGCTTTTATTATTTTAAAGCCTATTACTCGTATTTCTAAGATTTTATTATTTTAGTAATGCTTTTATTTCTAATAATTCTAAATTAATTTATTTGAAATTCTTTATAAAATTAAAGAAAGTAAGCTTTAAATATTATTATAAGTATAGTATTTAGGGCTTAAAAAGCAAGATAAAAAGTCTTTTATAAAGACGATTTAAAGCTAAGGAAAAGAAAACCAAAATATAAATACATTATATATATAGTTATATAATCTAAAAAATAACGAAATATAAGTAATAAAATATATAAAATATAAGTAATAAAATATATAAGATATAAATAATAAAATATAAATAATATTAATTAAGTAATTATATTAGCTAACTAAATAAAAAGCGAAATTATAATATTAAATTAAGAAATTAAGGCAAAATTAAAGATTTTTAAATATAATAATATAAAAATATTTTCTTTTTAAAGTAAATAAACTAGTAAAGAAATAAAGCCTTATTAAAACTTAATATATAATTATTTAAAACTAAATTAATTTACTTTTTAATTATATATCTAATATATATTATATATAAAAAGCTATTTTTCTTATTAATATAACTTATTTAGAAATAATTATATATTTGAAAATAGTTATATATTTAGTAATATAATTTATTTGAGAATGGCCTTAGTTAGATATATCTTAATAACTAGCAAAATTATAATACAAGTTAATAAAATCGTAATACGCAATTATTTTAGTATACAAAGTAGGGTATAAGTGCTTATTAATAATGAGTAGCTAACATATTGGAACTCCCCTTCCTCCCCCCCACCACTCAAATTCCTTTAAAAACGCTATCGCGAGCGACAGCATTTATTTTACCTCGCGAATATTGAAAAGCTTGGTCTTTACAGGGCAAAAAAACGCTGTCGCCAGCAATAGCGTTTTCAGAAGCAGGGTAGTAGTAGTTTCTATTATAATTTGAGATAACTCGCCCGCAGCAAGGTATTTCTTTAAACGGAGAACAAGGAGCTGCTATTAGTACATTATACTATAACTCTCTCAATTTCTTTTAGAAGAAAAATGCTTGTTGTTGTTGTACTAATTAATTAGAGGGGTGTGGCAACCGGGCGCACGCTTCACTCGGGCAGTGAGCGAGATCCGCGCGCTAGCCGCATCTGGGGCATGCGCGCGACAGCGTTTTTTTCGGGCAATAATCTTACATTCATGCCCAATGCAACCCAAAGCACAGACCACCTAGTTTCCTTTCTTTTGGCTACTAAAACACGGAAAGCGCTTGCTTGTTAGCTGAAATCTATCACGATTATTTTCTCTTTTGAGCTATGAATAATGTCTTATGCTATCCAATAATAAGACGAAATTTTGAGTAGCAGATCCGCACTTGTTCACGAGTTCATGCGAAGAGTTGCGCTTGCTTATTTTCTGGTGAATTTGTGCGTATGACAGCATGTGGTTGATTAACACGTCAACTCTTTCGTTGGAGCCATTCTATGGCTTTGTTCCTGCGTATGCTATCCTTTCGCACACTTGGGAGCATGAGGAGGTGTCATTCAAAGAATTCGTCAGAGCCCGCGAGGACAAGAACTTCGACATTACAAAGAAGGCCGGTTACCACAAGATAATAGCAACATGCAAGGAGGCGGTCAAGGAGGGTTGCTCCTACGCTTGGGTTGACACGTGTTGCATTGACAAAACCAGTAGCGCAGAGCTGACCGAGGCTATCAATTCCATGTTTAGCTGGTATCGGCAGTCGAAAATTTGCTTCGTATACTTGAACGATTTCGAGCTTCGTGAAGTTGATGGCCATTCACGTTCAGACGAGTTCGCTACTGCTTTTCGTCGATGTAGGTGGTTTACCCGCGGCTGGACTCTCCAGGAGTTGCTTGCGCCGAGACACGTACGGTTCTTGAACTCGCAGTGGGAGAAAATCGGGATGAGGAATGATCTTTACCAACTGATCGCCAGCGCCACGGGCCTCCCTAAATCCTTACTGCTCATGCCCCCGAGAAGTGACGTCCGTGATTTCCACGTCGCTACGCGGATATCTTGGTTAGCCAAACGACAGACTACTAGGGTTGAGGACTTGTCGTATAGTCTTCTGGGGATTCTCGACGTCAATATGCCGATGCTCTATGGGGAGGGTGCCGCTGCTTTCACTCGGCTCCAGGAGGAAATCATTAAAAAATACAATGATCTCTCCATCTTTGCCTGGACCAAGGGAGCAATAGGGAAAGGATACATGGACATCTTAGCTCCAGCACCTTCAGCCTTCGCTGGCAATGTGGGGGTTAACTATCACAAAAATAGGAAAGCCCACCTCGCTCACAGGTTGAGCGTACAGTTCTCCCTAACAAACCAAGGCATCCTCTTTCCTAATGTGAGGCTTCAATACCAGGGTGCAGTGCCAGGATTTAGCCACCACTACATCTTGGACCTCAAGTATCCGAACCCTGCCTTTCGTGGCCAGAATGAGGGTCTAACCTATATCCTCCTTCGAAAAGTTGGGCCAGGGTTGTTCGTCCGACTTTACGAAAGTTTGGAACGGCAGAATGCATTCCGAGGAAATTTCTATAGTAGTGCTTTCTACGAATCAGTATGCATCCTGAACAACCTGAAAGCCTCTAACTCACTGGTATGGCAACTCAGTCGGTGGGAACACTACGCCATTCGCCTGCGCTGGAAACCGTGGGAGAAGCTAGGGCAAAGATTCTGGCACATCCGAATGGTGGAACCCAGGGCGATATGGGACGTTGCGGGAAACCAGTTCCTCCTTGAAATGGCGACTGAGAGGTACATGCACGTCGAGTTCATCCCGGGTACCTACGCGAGCAATCCGCATTTCAAGTCCTTCGTTATTATGATCCAGGTCTACAACGCCAAGGAGCGCGATCCTGCGAGGATCAAAGCACGCATCGTCAAGATCGAGACCTGGCAGAGCCTCAATGTAACCACGCTAGGCTTCCGCGGAAAGAGCGCCGTGGAGATGGACTCCCTGCAGTCACTAGCCGGCGGCGACGAATCGAATACCCTCTCAATCGTGGGTTACGCTATCTCAGTATCTGTACGGCTACACGAGAAGATAAATGAGGCACCTTGTCATCTAGTATCCCTTGACTGGACGGAGACAGCGTCGTCTTAATTTGAGTCCGCACAAAGAATTCATTACGTTGTTCGTAGTGCCATTCAAAAATGGCTCTACAGGCGAGGTTATGAATGATCTAGTTCTGGTAAAATTGACGAGGATGGTTTTAATGATATGGCTGGGGGCAATTGATGAAGCATGGGAGCCAGATTGTCCGGGTCCTCGGTACGGATGACGACATTCGAAGCAATGTTCGGAAGGGACTGGATATCATGAAGGCGGAAAACTACCGGCCGGGACATTTGATGATATCCCCAAGCACAAGTACAGCTGGTGCACGGAAAGGTAGCAGCAGCAGTACCGCTGGCTTGAAGCGGTCATCGAGTCAGACTAGCACACCTTTGCCGCCTAGAAAGTAATCCTATTTAAAATCTCCAATAAAGGCCGGCAGCAATGCTCTACCAAATCAAGTGCATTGGTATATTATCCTTTGTAATTATGGGAAGCCCATTTATAAGACTGGCTCTCGAGTAGCTCTACTTGCCATACTAGAGGGCTATATTAAAGGACATAAGTCCTTATATAAGGCCGGCTTTCTTTATAAAGATATCTTAAATAATAATCTTATAATAAATAAAAATAAAGAAAACCCTTTCTGGCCTTTATTCTTAATTAATCTTGACCTTAAGATTAAAAAAGTATAAAGAAAGGCTTTTAGTACTAGAGGCAAGACTAGTATAAGGGCTTTTATAGCTATTAGAGCTCTTTTTAGCAAGTAATATTTATTTATATATAACTTCGAGTTAATATTTTAGGTACTTTTCTAGATCTATATTTATTATAATAAACTAAATTAGAAAAAAGTTATTTTATAATTTAATAAGTGAAATTATATAAATATAAAATAGTTAATTAAACTAAAATTAGGTACTATAATAAAGAAAGCAATTTTTATAAAAATAATTACTAAATAATTTTATTTCTTATTTTAAGCTATTTATTTTATAATTAAATAAGAAAATAAAAGACTTTATTCTTAAATAAAAGAAATTCTTTATAAGATATATAAGAACTCAATTTAATAAATAAGTATAATAAAAGAAATACTAAATCTATATATTAGAAGCTTGCTATTATAATATTATTAGAAATTAAAAGTATTAGGGCTTGAAATAATATTTAAAACTAAAGCTTAATAAAAGAATTATAATATTATATTAATTTTTAACAAATTTAATATTATAAAACAAATTTGTATTATTAAAAAGAAAAGAAAAAAGAAAATTATAAAGTTTATAAGATTTAGTAAAAGAAATTTAGATATAAATAATATAATTATATATTAAAATTATTTAAAACTTGGCTTTAATTATTACTTTTATTAAATATTTGAGTATTAAAAATTAAATAGAAATAATTAAAGTTAAAATTAATTTTTTATAATAAAGCTAGTAATATTTAAAGAAATAAAAAAGATTATTAATAATTAAGATATAATAAATTTCCTAACTTATATTATAATTTGCTTTCTCGAATTTAGTAACTTTTATATTAAATAAGGCATATATACGGGCTAGTTATTACTTTTAATATTTATAAAAGTTCATATTTCTTATTATTTAATTATTTCTTTTTTAATTTATTTCTAATATTCTTCCTTTAATAATTTGATTATACTATTTACTATTAATTTCCTTTTATTAAAGCTTATTAAAAACGTTTTATTATAGCTAAAAAGCCTTAGTAATATAGCTGGTTTAAAGCTAAAATCCTTAATTCTTCTTAATTTACTTCTTTGAATTTAATATTTATAATTATTATAATAATAATTATTTCTTTAAATAATATTATATTACTCGAGATATAAATATAAGCTTAGCTTATTATTCTTTTCTTACTATTATATTATTATAATTCTTGTAATAATAGAAGCCTACTTTTATTATTTTCTTTATATAATATAATTTAGCTAATAATAAAAATGCTTTATAATAATATAGCTAGCTATTATTTAGCTATATTATAATACGAGATTAGGGCCGCTTTACTAAAATTAAAGCCTGGCGGCCTTATATAAGCTCCGGGGCTAGTTTTTAATTTTGCTCTAATCTCGATTCGAGATTAAAAGAATTATATAACTTTTTTATAATAAAGCTCTCTTATCTTATATAGGCCTTCTAAGCCTTATACTTATAAAGCTTCCTCTTCTCTTTTATAAGCCCTTTTAAGGCTTACTTCTACTTATAAAGCTATTTACCTCTCTTTATAGGCTATTCTAAGCCTTATTCTTATTTATAAAGCTCTTTACTTCTCTTTACGAATTGCTAGACCCTTTAATTATATTCGTAAAGCTTTCTTTTCTCTTTTATAAACCCTTTTAAGCCTTACTTTTACTTATAAAACCTTCTCCTTAAGTATAGCCACATTAGTGCAAGCTTGCGAGCACAATGTAGCATGTAAGCATGCGGGAAATTAGTCTTTTTTAAGAGCTTTTTTCGATTATAAGAGAAGTAATATTGCTTTTGCGGACTCTTTTGGATTTCTTACAGGCCCTTCCAAGCCTCACTTGCCCCCGCAAGCCCCTTACTACCCGTACTCTTATTCATAACTTTCTCCCGAGCCTTATTTTCGCCCGCAAAGCTCCCCTTTTCCTCTCGCAGGCCCTTCTAAGCCTTACTTCTACTTATTAAGCTCTTTTTCCTTATTAAGTATAGCCACATTACGCTTGCAAGCTCGCAATAATATAACGTATAAGCGTGCGGTCTTTTAAAGGCTTTTATTTAAATAATTATTAACTTCTAAAGGCTATTTTCTATTATTTTTTTATAAAATATTTATAGTATTCTTTTGCTCTTGCCTTCCTAAGCTCTTGCTTACCCGATTTCTTACTACAGGCTTATATATGCCTTTAAAGCTTATTTCTAGTAGGCTTATTCTCAAGTCTCGATATTCTTACTTGCTTCTTTCTTTAAATTCTATATTAACGGTTTGACTTTTGCTTCCGTTTTTGGTATATAGAGTATATAAAGAAATATCCAAATTCAGAAAGGCGTCGTTTTTAATTATAATTGGAGCAGTATTCTAAGAGAAAGGGTTAGTAAGTATTTATAGACAGGTTTTCCTACTTATAGGCTATAGGCTTATCTATAAATTAATTTATAGATACCTCTTTATCTGCAAGTTCCTCCTCTTTATCCGTAAGTCCCTCTTTATCCGCAGGTTCTTCTTCTTTATTCGTAAGTATATCTTCTTTATTTGCAAGCCTCTTCTTCTTTATATCTCCAAATATTAGCTAGCTATAAGCTAGTACCACGCTTCCTTTTGCTCCTGCTTTTATTCTTGCTTTTACTCCTGCTTTCCCTTTTTATACTTATCTATAAACTGCCATATATTAGCCCTATTACTTACTATTTGCAAGCTCTTACCGGATTATTCTCTTCTCATTTCCTCTCTTACTCTATTTCTCATTGCTTCCCCTCTTTATACCATTACTATTTATTATCTTGTAATCGAGCCTAAAACTTCCTCTACTTGTCCCAAGCCTTCCTTTAGGCTTCTCCTTCTGCTAGTGCCTTCTCTAAGTCTATAGGATCCCATATCCCACACTTTTATACCCGTAGCTTTGCTTTCTTTATCCGTAAGATCTGCCGGTTATGCCTTTCTTATATAAACTCGACTATAGCTTTATAGTATTAGTTATGCTTTCGTATAAGACAGGTTTCGCAAGTATAAAGTCAATATTTATTCTTGTAAAAAGGGAAGCTTATAATTGGGCAAAAGGACTTGTATCCGGAGTAGTATAGCCGGTTTAAAGGAAGGGTATTTATTGAGAGCCTGCGGAGCCTATAAAGCCTGTGGAATTAGCCTATAAATCTTATAAAAGGGAGCCTATAGAACCTATAGAATATATGGAGCCTATAGAGCCTATAAAGCCTGTGAAATAGAGCCTGAACTATAGAGCGGGCCTAAAGTTTTGGTATTCCCGAAGTTTTAGTATTCTTATATAGACCCATTCACGTAATAGCGTCCGTTTTCTCCGGAAAATAGCGAAAATATAAGAGAGGATTATATATTAGAAAAAGAATATTAATAAGCCTTTCTTAAGCTAATAAATAATATTATATATTATATATTTTAATTTAAGCTAACTTAAAAATAAAAAAGACGAATTATTAGAAATTATAATTATAATAAATAATAATATATATAATAATAATAATATTAAAACTTCTTATATATTAGTATTAAAAAAACGAATTATAAGTAAATAAAATAATATAAAAAATAATATAAAAGCAAATTATATAATTTTGAAATGAGCTTAATTTATAATTATTATAATAAAATCAAATAAATTACTAAAATAGGTATAATATAATTTATATTATAAGCTTTTAATTTTATAAAGAAAAAGTTAATTTGGCTTAGCTATATAGAAATAATTATAAGCTTTATAAAATAAGTATATTAAATGAAATTTCGAGTAAAATTAAATTAATTATAAATTAATTTCTTAATTTTTAATAAAGCCAAAGAGTATTAGAAATTATATAATAAATAAGGTTTAGTAAAAGCCTAAAAAAACTAAGATTTTATATATAAAATTAGATTAATTTTAGAATAATATATAATAATTATAAGTAATAAACTAATTTTAATAAGTTAATATTTATAAATAATTATTTAAACTACTAAATTTCTTTTATTAATTATTTTATATATATTTAAACTAGCTTTCTTTTTTGCCTACTTTATTTTATAATAGCTATTTTTTGAAGTATATAATTTATTTAATTTAGGTTTCTTTTATTTAACTTATTATTTTATAATAGAAATATTTTCTTGTTTTCTAAATTTAGTTATATAATTTCCTTATTTAATATTAGTAATAACTCGAGAATATATAAACTTATAGCTAATTTTGTATTATTTTAAATATTAAATTAAGATAAAGATAAAGATAATAATAAGAACTAAAGATATATAAAAAAAACTATATTAAAAGTAAATTATTTTAATTTATTAATATAGATTATAAATATATTATTAATTATAATAATAAATTAAATAATAATTTTTTATTTTTTGAAATACTTTTTCGAGCTATTTTATATTTAAAGATTTTAGCTAAGGCCTTAGAAACTAGGCTTGCTTTCTAGTATTTAAAATAGCTAGCTTTTTAAAAAGAAAACTAAATTATAAGTTAATTAAATTTAATTTGAGCCTAATAAATATTAAGCTAGAAATCAAAATAAATATATTATTTATTTTTTATATTTAGAAATATATTATTAATTATATATAAATTAATTAATAATTCTCGATATTAATAATAATTTTAATAAAGCAAATACTAGAAATAAGGCTAAGAGTACTTCTAATAATATTAATACTAGATATATTAGATAAAATATAAGTTTATATAATATTATTATAATATTAGAACTTGTTTTATATTAATTAAATTTATTAATATATTTGGTTTATAATATAATATTAATAAAAACTATTATATTAGGAAGCTAGTTTCAAAACTTGGCTTTTAAAAGTAATATAATATATTTTTAATTTTTATATAAGTCTAATTTTAAATTTTTTCTTAATTCTTTATATTATATTAAAATTGAATTAATTAATAAAATATTAATAATATTACTTCAAATATATTAGTGGATTTTCTTATTTATTTTCTTTTCAA